CTGTTAGCAATGCACATTTCAATTAAAGAACTGAAGACATCATTAAAAAATGAACAATATGTATAGTATCAAAGCAATCAGACTTACAGTTTTTAACAAGAAGTCGAAAATATCACTTTCTACCAAAAATGACAAAATATTCACCAAAATTAGAGAATTTAAGATATCATCACGAAATGAACAAATCTGAGAAAGGTTTACATGTAGTATCTATATATGTAATATCAAAGCAATTGAACTTTTGGTTTTTAACAAGAAGTCCAAAATATCACTTTTTACCAAAAATGACAAAAATATTCACGAAAATTAAAGAATCGAAGATATCATCACGAAATGAACAAATCTGAGAAAAGTCTACATGTAGTATCTATATACGTAATATCAAAGCAATTGAACTATTGGTTTTTAACAAGAAGTCGAAAATATCACTTTTTACCAAAAATATTCACCAAAATTAGAGAATTGAAGATATCATCATGAAATGAACAAATCTGAGAGAGGTCTACCCAAGGTACATATACACCAAGTATCAAAGCATTCAGGCTTGTAGTTTTCAAGAAGAAGTCGAAAAAGTAAAACATTGACACGGACGACGGACAATCACTAATATGATAAGCTCCGCTCAACAAAGTCGACAGCGAAGCTAAAAAATATCAACCGGTACGTCATTTATTTGAAGTAAGTTTCCTCTTCTGAGGCCCAAGCAGATCAAGTTATGATATAAATAGCACACAGGCTGATACAAATTATTTATATCTACATCATTTATACTACCAAGACATCAGCAAAACAGTTTTTTTCTTCTTTTCTTTTATAAGCCTAAGGGAAATGACTAATTTGAGTTTCCCCAACCTTTTTGATGACCGGATTTATAAAACTGAGCAGAAGGTCAAAATATCACTTCCTCCATAGACGCATAGTATGGGAAAATAGGCAGTAGCAGCCAGTCTAAGTAGACTGACTGTTGCTATCTGGTCAGTTGCTATACTTGAATATTTGAATTTGACTTTCATTAAAAATTGAAAGCTACTGATGTTGTATCAGTAGCTAATGTCCTGAATTTTATTGAAAATTTACCTTTTTTAACTGTTCATCCTAAACCAATGGAGAACCAAGTTCAGTATTTATAATAACAAAAGCCATACACACAATTACATGGGACTGTGACACATTGCAGTAACACAGTAACACAAGGACAAACACACACACCCTAATATGATATGTAAAAATGAGGTTAATTCTTACCTAAATATGCCAAGAGAGGCTTTGTGTCTAAGGAAAACTCTTCCATTTACGAAAAAAGTATGTAGAATGCTTGGGGAAGTCACTGTATAGTCAGATTACATACCAAGCATAGAGGTCAAAGGTCAAATGTTATTATTTGAAGAGAAGTGCAATGAGTAACTACTACTAGTGATCTTTGAAACAGTCAAGTACACATTGTCCATTCATGCTTTCATTTGTGGAGGATAACTAAAATTTTTCTTTTATGTATGTGATCAAAAAAAGTTGGAGCCAAAGTATGAATTTAGAAGAACTGTTGTACAAAAATGAGAAGTAAAAAGGCAAATATTGTCTATTCAAGGTTATTTGGCATTGTTACCTATGGTATAGATATATCTCAATATCACACAAATTTTCTCGACCACATTGAGTGAAAAATTTAAGACTTCTTGATGTCAGCAAGTATTACAAAACTAAAGGACATGTGTTTGCATTGTTTACAGAGAACAGTCATTTAATTTTAAATTTATGAAAATAAACCAACATCAGCTAATGATTAACTATTACACCCTTGGAACATATATTTTCCTACCCAAATTTTGGGCACATTTTACAAATTTTATAAATTTGTGAATAATTTATTTCTTAATTTTTGAACTAAATAGACATACAGCCAAAACAAAGTCAGCTTGGACATTCAGTTGTGGGACATGACAAAATAAACAGTGCCAGCGATAGATTTTGAGTATGAAAGAACAAAATAAACGCAATCAAAGGCGCCGACCACGCGCGTTGGAAATAAATAGAACATGTTGCGACGAGAAATCTCACCTGCATCTTTCACTCATGCAAACGCACACACATGCTATTTCCGTATATTGAATATGTTGGTAACGGAAGGGACAAGTTTAAATCATCTTTGTATTAACACAACTTGAAAGCAACAGTCTCACGCTGAATATATGTTTATAAATTATCAAACTAAACAATCAATGAAGCGGACTGCGACAGTTAAGACGAAAAGACAAGGCTAAGTAAGACGAAAAACATGTGACAGTACGATTAAGCCTGTCTACTGCACGCCCGGAGACTATACGTTCAAGTATCCAACTTTCCAATACAAAAAACATGTTTACTATCAGTAATAATTTCTAGTACTGGCTGGATAATTGCGTATTATCAGTTGACATCAGACATATAACTATACAGGATTTTTTGAACAATGTCTCAAATTTCCGAAAGAATATTCAAATAAGTTAGGATGAATACGAATTGAATGTCCATCTTTTAAAAAATCAGCTAAACAGTTCACCACCACGATTATGGTGAATTGGCGAGTTATCAACGAAGACGAGCGGACGTCTCCGGTCATGAGCTGGCTGGTTCGAATTTATCCACTTTTACAGAGATGAGTATTGCGTTCGAGTTGAGTTACTAGTAATTACAAGCCTGATTTACATTTTTCTTGTGGTGTTTTTCGTCAATGTATTAAATATAAGTGCGTTGGGAAATAGCATAATTATATTGCGTCAGTGAAAGACGCTGGTGAAACTGTGTCACAATGCGTTCTATTTACTACCAACACGTGTGATCGGCGCCTCTGATTGCGTTTATTTTGTATTTTTATATTAAAAATGTATCACTGGCTGCGTTTTTTGTTACGTCTCGCAACTGAACGTCCAAGCTGACCTTGTTTTGGCTGTAATTTCCCAATGGATATAGGTCTTAATCAACAATTTGAAGAAATATGTAAAACAATATTGACTTTGACTTTAATAATGATAACGTGGCAAAAATACTCAATTCACATAACTCTCTGCATCTTTAAATATATCATATGCAGCCTTTCAAATATGCTGTATGTAAAAACAAAGCAAAGTTGACACTTGAATACATCCCTCTTTTGGGTATAAAGAAAAAGATAGACAAAAGAGCCCGGGCACTTCAAAAATTGACGGCGAATCGCGTCGTTAGTGTACAAAATAAATAGCAATATCATTGTTTATCATAATATTGACACATGTCATTTTCGAATGTTTCTTTTGTTTTTATTATTCTTCTCGAAAATAGGAAAAGTAATATTATGGGCTCTAGTCGAAGGACTTTTATGGCAGATTAATCGACAGTTTTATAAATTCCAGGCGTTCTCGGACGGAAATGGGTGGCAATATTCAAAAGCAGTCCGTAGTACTTCCGCACATGCTGCCTACACAACTTAACAAGTCATTGTCGAAGAGGATGTCGTCAGAAGATGTAGTTCCATAAAATATTGACATATTAAATTTGTACGTTAGAAAAGAACTAATGTTTTTGTTTTCAAACGTTCGGTATAAACTAATATGTGAAAAGTATTGTGACAGAAACTAAAGAAGTTTTGATCGGAAAATCGGGTGTCGCCAGTGTCGGACGGACGGACTTACCGATAATATCGATGATTTCGATGCCCGTTGGCGAATTTTTTCCGTCACTGGCATTCGGTTCCTCGCTATCAGTATTTCGTAAATCCTCATCTGGTTTCGTAACCACGAATCGAACAGACATCGCTGACGAGTATTATGGAATCACGGCAATCGACTGTTACTTTTGTTTCTGCAGGCTGGCAAACCCTGGCTGTTATTCCTCGAGAATCAATCACTGAAAATATGGCGTCTTGTGTAGCCTCGCTTTCACCGAAACCCCCACAATGCACGGCGGGTAGATGAACTTCACTTTCAAACTTTCGTATTAAAATAATTACTTTCAGCATTACAATTGATTAAACGAGACCTTGTCTGACGGGTTTAATTTGTAAATCAGGCCAAGTCAATTTTGGTAAACGTTTCTCAGAATCAGTTGATTTTTTTTTTTACTTTCTCAATTCAATCCGGTCTCGCGAGCGGTGGATTTTTAGTGAATCCGATTTTACATACAAGAAATGTTGTAAATTATATTCATTACTAAAAAAAGGCATCACAAGTTGTTATTGCAAAACATTGTCTGGTTCATATATGTTTTTTTCTTTAGCTATATCGTTGTTTACTGGCACAGTAAATCATTTTTCGTAATAAAAAGCAATAAGCGCGATTGTAATGCGTGGTGGGTGGAGCCAAAGCCAGTCAAGGACGCGGAAAACAATGTATGTTATACTGGTGTTACCGGGCTTGGTGCCCATATTACACAAACATATTTAGCATGCAGTCGGCGTACAAACTATCTGAACCTGAATATAACTGAAAATATACATTTAAAACTTATAATACAAACGTGAACACAATCGGGCGACTGTTAAAGCAACTAGTTTAGATGGGTCTATGTCACGGTGTGATTCAGAGTACACTATTGAATCGACGGAATAGAAATTAGACATGTTTACATGTCAAATAAACTATAAAAGCATAACATGTCATTTATGATTAACAAGTTTGGAAAATGGTTACATCGTCATGGTTACTAGGAGGGAGGAGAGTACATTTCTCAACACGAGAGATATGGGTTCTCTGAGGGAAATCAAAATTGGTATTTTGTACACATCGCGGCTAGATCGGAATCTTCTATTATGAGAACTCAATAAGTTGTGGGAAATCACTGTTTATCAACATAAATCTCTCAGCTAACTCGAAAAGTGCCACACTGTTATTATCGAGTGATATTATTCAAATATCGTGCACAACATTTATAAATTGAGGTAAATATTTTACTGAATGAAAAAAAAAATAACTAACATAATTCGACAGCAAATACTATGTAGTATACATAATAATTTTATTAACACGTTATTTGACGGTGTAATATACATCACATGTTAGTTATTTACTAGTAGGGTACATTGGTCTACCACGTGATAAGTACTTCAGATTAGATACAATTAATCACAACTCTGTGTCAGTTTAGTATCCGACTTCCTCCTGAAAGAGAACAAAATTCAAACATTCACCATAAGCTTAGCAACCTTGAATCACATCGATTTTTTGGGGTATCGGTCACGGTCGCAAGCTTCTTCAAGTTGTCACCGCCATGATGACATTCAATGTGCCCCCGCCGTACTCCAATAGTTTGTCACAAAACAAAACATGTTGCATACATCATTAATTTAATTTACACAAATATATTCACGTCAAATTATTGTGAAATAACACAATTGTTCCTGGTATTAATAATTTACTCGTCATTTATGGTCACCTGATTTCCGCATGCAACCAAACCCGCCTTGTGAAAGTGTCTCGCACTGCCTTCCAAGGTCATTCTCACAGAAGTCACAGAAACGGACAAAATCTTCAACTTCGTCTTTTACAGGCAAAGGAGATAGAGAGAGAAAATGAATTGTTAATCAACCAAGTCACATGTGAGAGGCGCCCTCATGGTCGTCTGTACAGGATTCAAAAGATAAACCAGAAAATGTGTATCTTCATGACATTTCTACTCAATGACTCAAGTTGCATTCAAGTTGTACTGCAAGTATATACGACAAATGTAAAAATGATTACCACTGATTGTGCACCTAAAACCAGGTTCCCCACTCAGGTAGTACGTTTCACATTTTTCTTGTGAGCTACAGGGAACTCCGCCACATGGATCTGAAAATTCAAACAATTTAATTATTTCATCATAGTGTGTACGCGATGTTGGGGTGGATCATGATGTTCGTAGGTTCAGGAATTAGAACCCTCTCCTCCAAATCATACATTATTAATTAATCGGATATTATGTATTCAGTAGGGGATCTCATATGCATATTTGGTACCCCTAGCACAGTGAGACCTCTTGGCTCAGTAAGTTTTCATAGACCCCTCGGCAATTATATGAGCACAGCTCCACAGTATGATATTAGGTATGTATAATCCAATCTTTCATTAATGCGGATTTACTCATATGAATATCCTCATTGAATTGCAGACATAGAAGTGAATTTCATAACACATTATGACTTAAACTAATTGATTTAATATTAAAGTATGGTGATGAACTTTATCAAAAACAGTAGCCACCCTGCGCCCAATGGATTGGAATAATACCTACCTGGTGAGGGCGAACACACGTTCTGTGCACTCGCGTCTCCGTTGGATGTTATCCCAGTGAAACAATAAGGAGCTGAATAAGGACACTTGTTGTCGAAATTGCCGTCACTATTACGACAGAAACTTCTTTCTAGATTAAAAAGACGAAATAAGTATATGATAACGTATTTTATAGCTTCCTGCTTGCCACTCACTACATATTTTACAGTGATGTGATCTGATGAAAAATGATTTTTTTGTATAAATACATATTAACTAAACTTGTTAGTATAATTTATATCTGTAGTATTCGTTACGAAATATTGAAAAACAACAATAATCCGTCTGCCAAATTTTCATTACACACAGATATACAAATCATTTTAAGTTTTGCGATAAATCATACCTTAATTTGCTTTTGTTTTTAGCAAGATGTAATAATAATAATACCAATAAAATGTTTTGAGCAATGCTAAAAATACTCAAAATTACCTATACCTATTACTACTATACAAGTTGTATAGTATATACATAATTCGTCTTGATACCACAACACAGGGAATATATCAGCGATATATCAATGTCACATAAAACACTGACAGCTCCACGTTGGCTTTTGTGTTTGCCCATCTCCTGACATGGATCAATAACTCGCTACAAGCAGACAGCTCTGACCATTGTCCTTGCTATCAAGGCCGATCTACTATTTTAACATGAACCAAACATCCAACCTTACTTGGAAAGATTCCTTTCTCTTCCATTTTGTGCAGTTCCTCGTCCAATTCCCCCTCAATAAGACGTTTTAACTCTTCCAGTCTATTTGCGTTATACGCAGACGTCGTCGTTGTCGCCATGGTCACGAGTAGACATACCAGACTTAGATTCATGCTTTGCAGATTCTATGAAATAAATTTGTTGCGATAATTCACCAAAATACTCGACACACACGATAAACCACGTGACGCTATTGTGGTAGCGTTAATCCGATAATCGGTGACCATGAGCAATTTAATCCGACAATTGCGTATACACTAGTATGCAGGCCTTTACGTCAAATGTGATATAATAACTATAATAATATTTTTTTTCAGAAATTAGCTCGAATATCTTTCACACTTACAGAAGTAACAAATGTGTTGACGTATACTATTAAGTACATGTCGTCGATATTAAATAAAACTAATAGTGTTAGTGGTGGTGTATTCATAAAATTGTAATTCAGCAATACAGTCACCAGAACACTAGTATAGATATGTATTCCATTCAGAACAAAAGTTTAAAAAAATAAAAATATCTTCTTGGCACAACAATTATTCACATTATAGTATTAGTGTCTAACAAAATAACAGCAATGACAACGAAATCCAGTGAGAGGAATCGGCCTGGTGAGATTGCTAAAAAATATCGCTCCATAACGCGACCTGTCTTACCTGGGTATCTCTTAATGGCGAAAATCTTCAAAAACTACAAGTTTCACGCTTTGGACTCGTGGGTGGAATGTGAGAGACAATACGCAAATCAAGCTGCGGCAGGCAGTCGTGACCTCGACACAATGTTTCTCGCAACTTCAAATACTGAACTATGTAAAGCATTTCAGTCATGGTTGACGAGATGTGAGCGACATGAGGACACTCTTTAAAATAGAGATCACTTGGTATATACTTGTCACCCCGATCTTCATTGTTTTATTAATAGATGAACTAGTATTAGACCACGGTCAAGGTATTATATACCATGACGACTGTATTATAAGTACACTTGTTGACTATCAGATCGTGTTAGATTTTACGGAAAATTTAATCACGTGATTGAATGAAGAATGAATCCACATTCACAGTATACTAAATTATTCTATTCTGAGTCACTGAGACGTTACGAGGGTGGGTAAGACCTAAATTGGTTACACTAAGTCAGAGGTGCCCCTTCACTGTCAATTTTATAGCCTATGCTGAACGTTTAGTGTCGGTGTTTTCAATATTATAGGTCGCACTTTACCAGTTTATAGTTTTTTTTTTATTCATCTAAAGGTAATTTCGAATATAATTGTTAATAGGTAAATTTTATTCGCGTATTTCGGGTAGAGATAGCCAATGGACACGGTAAAAGCGGCACGGTAAAGTCAGTGAAATAGCCACACCGCCTTAAGTTCACTAGAGTGTGCGCGTATACATATTGATGAGGAACGTTTGAGGCGCAAAGATCGTGACACTCCAAATAACACTTCTAAACATACACCAAGTCTTCGCTCCCCATTCAGGAAAGATAGAATGATATTTGCACCACAATGAATTCCATTCGGAATTTCATACCTGAGTGAATACTACGGATACATACCACGCTGTTATAATATTTAGCGTGTACATGCTTGTCGGCTTTAGCCCATCCTTTTATAGTAGTTCGAGTGTACATGCTTATCAGCTTGAGTTCACACATTGTTCTAGCAGTTGGCGTGTACATGCTTACTAGCTTGAGCTCACACTGTTATAGTAGTTAGCATGTACATGCTTACCAGCTTGAGTCCACACTATAATAGAAGTTAGCGTGTACATGATGCATGCCAGCCAGAGGCTACACTTCTATAGTAGTTAGCGTGTACATGCTTACCAGTATTACTGTGTGTTATTGTCTTTTTTTTTCGTTGGGTAGGATCCGTCAAATATTTTTGTCGATATGTTTGTAACATATACAACACTGGAGGGACGAAATTACCTTTTACAGATTAGATAGATGTGATAGAACATAGTACTTTTGCGATTAATGGACAGGGGCTTTATAAAATAGACCATTGTTTAATAACATTTCTCAAAAAATTACATTTCTAGATATCACTTAAAAAACGAAAATAAAAAGCTATGACGAGTCGTGCAACCCCTGTAGATCTACGCTGTTATAAATAGTCCAGAAACTGTTGAAATAAAATGAAAATAGAATTATATGAAGTGAAAGCAATGTCTGTCAAATATATAATTGTGTTAGATTGTGTGGTTGCCCATCATTTACCATATAGCGACTACAGATCACATCTGTTACAAGACTGGGAACGTCCCTTGCACGCATTCACGCCACAGAACGCTTTGTCACGAGAGGGCGCGATTTATAGGAAAGCTGTATTCTCAAATAATCTCGCCTTCGTCGTTATTATCACAATAGTATATATCACCTTAATCAAAACACGAGGTAGGGTGTTTATAAATAGAAACAACCAATGTCATTGCCAGGGAGTTCTTGGCAGATTCTACCGGTAGTTGCGCAGTAGTCACAGATGGCAACAAACACGTCATCATCACTAGGTTCCACCACAATTTCTGAAAAGGATGAGAAAACAAGTTACGAACTTCTTGTGTGAACTTAGTTTTCATCAGTAAATATGTGTTTTATTTCATACATAATTCTCCATTGTGGTGTTTTAGCGAAGCAAACAGTCATGAGGATCAACAAGCAAGACATGACATATTCAGTGAATCTTCCATAAAGTAGAAGTGTAACGTCTTACCTTCTAGCCCCGAGACGCATTCAAATCCAAATACTCCACCAGTGCGTCCAACCTTGATGCACATCTCGTTTTGACTGCACGCACCCCTGGTACCTGCACATGGCTCTGAAAAACATCGACATATGATGAGTAATCACGGTAGTTGAACGAGAACGAGCGCCCTCTGTATACAAAGAACTTGAAATGCATCGAGTTGTTTCCCGACTGTTTGACTCGACTCTTTCAAGGCGTTTTATTCAAATATTTTATTCACAGTTATGCATTCAACATTTTTTAATTAAATATGTGTTATCTTCCATCTCGTTACATGTCAAACATAAACATGTTATCTTCAATGATGCCATGATACTTAAAGTGGGAGGGTTGTCAGCTGCGCACGCGCGGGAATTGAGTCCCAAGCGACGATAACAACACACGCTAAAAACGTAAAGGCTCATGGGTAGATTCTTGTTTGTAAACAATGACGCGCTATGGCCATTTGACGCATGCGCAGGTGACGACTTCCCCCGCTTTAATACGGCAATGAGGTTTGGGGACATGAACGTGCATGGTGCGTACAAATCTGTGATCAAGGATGTTTATTAACAGGTTCGTTCTGGGGGCGAAGAGAAACACCCCTACAAGGCTGGAAAGCTAGCCAAATACTACAATTGAGCTAATTAGTAGAGCTAATTAACTAATTAGCAAAAAAAGCAGCCGTACTTAATAAACAAATAAATAATAAATGGTTCGGTGTTATAAGGACACAATTAAACAGCATCTTCGCTTCGCTCTCTCTTTGCCACTGTTATTATTTTTGCTCTTCCCGTTACTCAATGTATTTGTTTATTATTTATTTAGCGGAGGTCATAGTTTAATATATTATTGTTTTGCAGTTCATTTAAACGGTGTCATTGTTTGATTTTTAGAAATTCTGCCAAATTCTTTCTTTATCCCAATTATTGGAGTAAGTTTAGTACATCTACGCCATTTTGACGTGACGTCGGCGCTTCGTCACTAGAGGGCGCGTTTAGTGTAAAGGCTTTGTCGAATCTTGATAGCTATGTCAGTACATACAGTTCCACAATTGCAGTTACACCACGCCCTTTGGACCGTGCACTTGTGATCTCAAACGATGCTTCATGCGCGTATTCCCCGTTGTACTCACCCGAGGTTGGAAAACACGCCGGTACCATGGAACCATTAGACAGCAGTCCCGTGTAACACCAAGGCTTGTCCGATTCACATCTGTTTTGGAATCCCAATTCGTAAAAGCAGTGTCCTCTTTCTGAAATGAAAGAATACAGGGATAAAGTAATCACTGACTCATCCCCATATCATTCAATATGACTTGCAACATTTTGTTCAACCTCAGACAACTAATAAATTAATTAGAGTTGTATATTTTGTCGAAAATAGGGGCTCAACTAATGCATTAGTTGTCTGAGGTTCACCATACACGCTTGAAACATACTGGCTATTTCAACATGTATTTCCATGTAAAGACCAAAATAAACCAATGCCAATGCCCAATGTAACAAAGTTTTATCTTCCGACAATGTAACTGGGCAGTGTTCAGACTCAACAATCGTGTTTTCGAATAATCGTCTATAAATATTTCTCTACAATCGAATAAAACAATCAATGCACATCCAATGTTATACGAAACGCTGTCGACAGAGGGCGGAAATACTTACTCTGTTGTACACGCACGTTCTCGTATACTTCGTCCGTTTCTTCTGTTAATAATATGCGATTAACGCCTTCCAGCAGTTCCCTCAAATTTGCATGTCTGTTGGAGTACTCTTTGCGCGTGGATGGGTAGCATACCACCATGGCAACCAAAACACTCGCAATTAAAATTCTACAAACCATTGTCTAATGATGCAAAAAAAAGTTTAATATATAGTTACTGAAGTTACCAGTTGCTAGTAATTATAAACAACAAACACAATACTTTGCATACGATTTCCATTTCCGTTAAAATATTGTTACCTGTGTGGGAACTTTTTTGATGGGCAAGTCACGTACAAATCAACCTTCGTTTCAACCCCCGCCGTGACATATCAACGGTTCCCGTGTATAATTACTAAATAACCGGCTATGCCCAACAACAGAGATTAAGTAATGTCTGAGATTTTTAAAAGAACACAACAAGATCGTGTCAGTGCATATTCAGGCGGGTTTGTAAGAGCAAAGTATCGCATTGTTTGGGAAATCACATTGATCACCGCTATCATACCGCGGATTACGAAGCATTTATTTGATCACCGCGCCTAGGTAGTGTTAAATCATAGACCCTCAACCTGAGGGTCTATGGTTAAATACTGCGATGTTTCAATGGGAATGGACATATTTCACTATAGACATCATGTCACTCCGAAATACGTGTATCTAATACACAATTAAGGAATGAACCCTTATTTCAAAAGGAATGGTTATGTTAGAACATTTTTTATTCTATTTAGAACTGTATTTCGAGTGGTTAGACCAAGACACGTTATATTCACGAATATTTGATTGTTCATCATGATAATAACCTGCATTTTGTGAACATGTATTACGCAATCGAAAAACACATACCAACTCCAAAAGAGACCTCTGTTTGAGCGTTAGTGAACAATTTAATGTTTAATTTGTATTGATATATCTTCAAATTTTAGTTGATTCAATCCTATACACATCGACGGAAATAACGGCCCGTTCCTTAAACGACGAATTCACAGGTACTCGGGGATGTATGGGCGATAGACCGACAATCACTCACAGAGAAGAGCAACACTAGCGGTTGTAGCAAAAATGTGTATAACTTTACATGTAAATATATCTGTAGTTGACACAAGAGCGAATGATAAATGTGTTTCCGTAAGTTTACTCTGTAGTTATACATTTTATTTTAATTTATTTTATTTTATTTTATATTATTTTAACCTATCCAATTTTCGTATCTTTCGTTTGGCCTAATAGTCTTGTACATTTAATGTGGAATGTGAATAAAATTGAATATTTTTAATGTATTTTTGTTCGATTTTAGCTGTTGGTACTCACAATGCACTCGGATTTGTGGAAACGAAAACAAAATCAGTTTTTGCAGCGCACATATTCGCTGGATGAAAATAAAAAAAAACTCGTAAATAAAATAAAACGTAAATGTGCACCTATTTTGACGTACAAACAAATCGCAAGCGTTTGATATATTTCGTTGACATTGGCGCAACTGGTCTGACTTTTTAGTCAAGAAATAACCATCTAGGTTACATGATTGCAATTGAGAACCAGGGTTTAGAGGTATTGGCACATCACACGGCATCACAGACAATATCTCGAAATTCGTTAACTAAATAATTGAAATACTTCATCTCAATGCAAAAATGTAATGAAATTGAAGCAAAGAAACTGGTACTTACGCAGATTATTGTATGGTTCAGATGCTTGATTGAGATGAACGTACGAAGTGAACTTTTTAAGAATTTTGAAAAATGTCAAGTCCCAGGGTCGCGAATTGAAGAGATACGATTGTACAGGCGTATTATATATAATGAAGTTATTTAAATTGTATTTCAGAGGTTAACCCCTTTTGAATTTAATTGTGATGAGAGGAGGGTTCCATAGAACAACACACTGTGCGAGTCAAGGCGTGTTTCAGTATAACTAGCTCGTCTCAGCTCACTTACGACTGTCACTCTGTATATCCCAGCGGGAGTGCGTGTGTTGTGATGACAAGAAATCGACGAAAAAATCTGATATAGACATGGGAAACATTAATCATGTTAATAGTGTCTTCGTCGACCTACGCCCAAACGTATGCTCAAAGCAATTGTTGACATGTCTGGCAATCGAGTATTGATGCGTTGCATAGGAATTTACACAAACACTTGACGAGTACTAAGTATGGTAATGAGAAATGTACAACAAATGCTCCTGTAAGATATGTGGTACGCATACGTGTTCCAAGACGTGGAAATGAGCCACTAGAATAAGAAGTAATAAAATCAAAGCCTTATTTACAGGTGGGGTTGTATTGGGAGGATATTTTTTTATTTCTCGGGAACAATCCTCATATTAGGATTTGCTGGAAAATGAAGCCTCAAAACACCGTGTTTCGATTTGTGCGCGTGCGCGTGTCGGTGTATGTTTGTGGGGACTGTCACTATGCGTTCACAAATCGAGTACTAATTTATACTCACAGAGCATAAGTCTTGTCGTTTAGTGAATATTTGTCAAAATCACAATTATTATTCAGTTCCCCATTAACGGCTTCCCCCGCGTAAACCAACTCAACTGGTTTCAGCATGATATTGAAGACATGAAAGCTACCACGTCTGCTAATGAGCCGAGCAAACAATGGTTGCAGTACAGTTAGACGGTTTGTCAATTAACGGCTAGATCGTTGGGTTCCATTGACTCAATAACAAACTAGGGGAACATCCAGTTTCGGTATCCTAAATAAAAATACGCTCAAACTGTTTTCATTATTTTCAATACTTTTTTTTCAATAATGTGAATAGTTGGTAAAACGTTCCAGCAATTTCAGGGGGTAATTCGATGCTTGGTGCGACCGGTTCCTCCTGTAATTGGGAACGTATACTCGTACGTTAACGTCGCGCTAAATAATTTTTTTATCCGGGAAACAACATTTCCATATATATATATATATATATATATATATATATATATATATATATATATATATATATAT